CACTTTGTGGTTGCCAGGTGCGGGGAAAGCCCTCTCTCTCTCTCTCTCTCTCTCTCTCTCTCTCTCTCTCTCTCTCTCTCTCAATGGCTGGCTTGTGAAGTGGATAACCTGCGTGTATCTGCATATACAGCCTGAGGAATGTCCAGGCGCTGTGTTTGGCGTCTCCAGCTGAAGTCAACAGCCTGATTGAGGCACTGAGGTGAAGGATCTTCAACACGTTCCTTTAGTCAAACACACACACTAGTGTAGATGGCAGAGGTGTATTATCTGGCGCCCAGTGTTGAGGTGTGTGTGGTGGGCGGGGCCTGATGATGAAGCCATGCCCCTGAGTCTGGCTCACGCTCTAAAGGGAGTCCTCATCATGCTCCATGGGCTCATCTTCAAGGCTGTGGAAAATGAGGTTTACAGTTAGCATCATGAGCTCATAACGCATCATTTCCTGCAGCGGCGAGCGTCAGAAGAGCAGGGCCTCCTGATTAAACCTGAACACGGCTGTAACACCGGCCTCCTGGTGTCCTACAGTCTGCCTCAGTCTGAGGATGTATTTTCAGCTGATGATGCATACTATGAACGGGGCGGGGCTTTAATTCTGAGCTCCTCCTCTCATCTTTTACTGACCAACACAACCTGAGCTTTAAGGCTGACGGTGTGTGTTAGCGACATAAAACATTGGGCATCTGGTCTTTCAGGTGTCTTAGTTAAGGCGTCATACTATATAACAGTAATGTACTAAAGCACTGAGTAATGGTAATCAGTGTAGAGAGGTGGAGCAGGTCTTGATTCAGGGTAAATCTTTGATGTCATTAGTACAGTGGATGTTTCAACATGACTTAATCACGGCTGTTCTTAACTATTAGTGCTGTTAATACATCAACCTGAAGCTGCGTCTGTTGTTTTGTTCCATACTGTGCTGCAGTTCCTGGAGAAACAGAATATTAAATGAGTAAACAGTGGGCGGGGCTTGTTTTTTCTACTGTGAGCTGATTGGATGTAGTAAAGTAGGCGTGTCATTCAGAAAGACGGGGAAAGGGTTTGTGCAGAGTTATTACAGCCTAACAGACTCCTCCCCATTTGGTGTTAAACTGTAGGCTAAAAGGGGAGTGGTTAAGTGTGTTAGCCCCACCCACTACCTCAGACAGACCTAATCTGAGAACTGAACTGAACACAAACAGGGTATTCAGAGAAAGATTAACAGAGCAAACTATTGTTTCAGTCTTAATGACCTGCACAGATGAAGTGTTCAGCGCATCAGCTCACAACATCAACATGGCTAGTCTGGATTTCATGTGGACTTTAAAAATAGGACAGAAATAAGCAGGAAGTGCCAGTAATAATGAAATGCACCTGGTTTTGTTGGTCAGGACTCCGACTGAAAGAGACGCCATGGCATTGACCGTGTCTGTTTCCTCACAGTCTTTCCTCTGAGCGCCCAGAAAGGACATGCCCACCGTGCCCATCAGCGGCTTCAGGGAGGACCAATACTGACCTGACACACAGAACAATGAGAAAACACACACACACTCCGTTTACTCTATTTCATTCAGGACAGCACAGTAGATGCAGAATCAACTGACAGTACACGACACACAGCAAGGACACCAACAAACCGATGTTCATGAAGAACACACACAGCAGAACCACTCTAAACCCTGATATAACGAAGCATACACACACACACACACACACACACACACACACACACACACACACACACACACACACACACACACACACACACACCTATACAGCATGACCACTGTACTTTTAATATCGCAGACACGGGAAGTTCTTACACTTTCCCTAGACAAACTATAGACCAAACTAATATGAATATGAGCGTGTGTGTGTGTGTGTGTTTGCGCGTGCATGCACGCGTGCGTGCGTGTGTGTGTGTGCGCTCTCTGTTTCTCTGTCAGAGCTCAGTGTAGTGCATGAGCAGAGGTGTTGTGTGTGTGTGTGTGCGCAGGGTTGTGTAGCTGTGCATCAGTGGTGTGTGGAGCCGCTGGTGTGTGTGTGTGTGTAACGGCGTGTCCTTCATTGCTCTGCTCTTGCAGGTTTGTTCTTGATATTGTACGAGGGCTGCATTGTTTTTGGATGGTGCTCTGTTTTCCTCAGCCGGTGCAGAGATGTTCTTCTTCAGCTGAAGCAGATACTTTGGGAGCTGGAAGCTTTGACCTCTATAGTATTTGTTTTCCTCGTATACTGAAGTCTTCATTTGTAGAAGACAGAAGCTCACCTGTGCATACCTGTCCACCCTCCTGTTTCCCGGGATTCTCCCGTATTTTACAGTTCTATCCCGCCACCATCCTGAAGGCATTTCTCCTGCATTTCTCCCATAGTGTTAGTCTTCTCTGAAGCGTGGCAATAAACTTTAAAGAGCCGATTCTCCCTATACACAACCCATACCGCCAAACCCCCAGGGGCCGCCCCTCGCTC